GGGTTTAGGGTTTAGGGTTTAGAGTTTAGTGTTTAGGGTTTAGGGTGTAGGGTTTAGGGTTTAGGGTTTAAGGGTTAAGGGTTATCCAGGGGCTTAGGGCTTAGGGTTTAGGGTTTAGGGTATCTTATATTCGTGACCCCAACAAGGGACCAGACTTTGGAGAAGTGACTATATGCAACCTGCGAACAAAGCCCGAAACAAACGCGCTCCTGCTTGATGACGTTTGCAAGGGACTTCCGAAACCCTGATTCCGACGTAGGACGGCCCTTACAACCGTCTGAAACAGGGTTTAGGGCTTTAGGTCGAGGGATATTCCTGAATATGATCCCCCTCAACCCAAGAAGGAAAAACTTAAAATGTCCCAAGGGCCCACCCACAGTTGCAACCCTCCCTTGCAAGCACGGCCCATGGCCTTCACTTGGCCCAGGCACCCCACTTGGCCACCTTGAGTCGAAAAGTCGGAAAGGGTCTAAAAGTGAGGGCGTAGGATTTACTTGGGGTTTAAGTGCAGGGTAGGGTTGCGATATAAGCTCCAACGGCTTGCAGAGGCCGCCTTTAACTTCGCAAAGATCCCGCAAACCCAAACCCTGAACTCTCAAGACAAAGTAAATTGCAATTGCGTTATGGTTTCAGTCTGAATTTACCAAGTTATTTGTCTTCACAGCTGACAAGCAGACTTGAAGAGAAAATCCAAAGCTGGGAGGCCAAATGCTCCATTCACTTAAAGCTCTTGGGCCTTCCCATCCAAGCTGAACTCCCAAACAGAAGCCCTCGTTCAACAAGTGTAAGTGAAAACGTTCGGTCAAAACATGTGGTCAACACTTTCGCTCAAGACTTTCGTTTAAAACTCTCGTGAAAGACTTGTCGTTCAAAACATTCCCTCAAAACGTTTCCTTCGACACCGTTGTTCAAAACTTTCGTCCAACAATTTCGGTCAACACTTTCATTCAAAACTTTTATTGCGCACATGTGGCAACACACACACACACACACACACACGCAACCTTTCTTTCTCGCTCGCGAAGAAAACCCTCGAGGACGTCACACTTCACGATCTCGCCGTTGTGTGCATGACGCAAGTTCCAGTACCAAGTGGGTCCTGGGTGGCCGGAGGAAAACGAAAATCACCTTGAGGACATGTTGGACTCATCACGCATGACAAAGTCCAGGATGGAGACCCGACAGACGAGAAACGGCAGAAACAAAACCAAAATCTTGATGCGCGGCAAAGACCAGCATGGCCACGGCCGCGGCATAGACCGGTTGGCGACTGTCGTACATCCTCCACGCTTGTTCAGACTACGACTCGAAAGTCCTCTCGTTCTTATGGACATCTGGGCTTTCCAGCCGACGGCGTTTGAGATTTTTTTTTTTGGGGGGGGGGGGGGAGCTTGGAAACACGAGTCCATGATTTATTTGGAAATGTTTGGCAGCTGCTGGTGGTGTGGGCGGTGGGAAGGGTGGCGGAGCCACCGGCGAAGTTTGCAGGAGCGTGGGCAGCTTAATTGGGCACATGCAGCTCCCACTGGCCGCGGCCATTCCCTGTGAAGCCCCGCTTCGCCACAAGTCTTTGGCTCGGGCGACTGGCACCAATGACATGGCGCCAGACCCCACCCCACGCCAGCTAGGCCTGTCATTGGCATAAAGAGAATGGAATCACATGACCGTCGATGAATGCTGAAAAGCGCCAACTCATAAATGAGAGTTGCTCAATTGCACGCCAGCCGTACTTGCATCAAGCGGCTCAAGTCAGCTCGCAAAGGAGGTGTTGCTCAATTGCAAGCCGGCTGCGCCCGCGTCGGAAGATTTCCCAGCCAATCCTAGGATTCATAGGCTCACAAATGAGCTGCCGGTCACTTGCAAACCAGCCGTGCTCTCATCAAAATCCCCACCATATTCTGGGCTCGACTCGGCCAATTGCTCAATTGCAATCCGGCCGCGCAAGTGGCCGCGCGTGCATCAGAAAGTTCCACCCAAGTGGGTCGAGACTGCGGCACGTGTGTGGCACATGCGCAGCAGCAAGGCTTGAAGTTCGGGCCTCCACAGACCTTCCGGATAGTTTGCGCGACGAATCGGCTGGCACCTACTTTTCGGCGCTTAGAAAAACCATCACGTAACACCCGGAACAAAGCTGACATGGGCAGGAAAAAAACTTTGCAGCAGACGCCAGGCGGTGATCGTGCCCCCCCCAGTGCAGCACCTCCAACTTGACAGTCGAGGGCTGGTGCCAGGCCAGGCCTGCCACACCTGCGTGCGGGGAGCCCCTCTCACTACACAGCGCTTCGGCCGAAAGCTGGGTTGAGCTCCCCTGTCACATCCAGGGGGCACTTAGCAGCCTGCAGCTCAGCCTCGGTCCGGAAGACCTAAGTCCAGGCGTAAAGGCGTAAACCTGCGTGTGGGGAGCCCCTCTGACTACACAGCGCTTCGGCGGTATGCTGGGTTGAGCTCCCCTGTCACATCCAGGGAGCACTTCGCAGCCTGCAGCTCAGCCTCGGTCCCGAAGACCTGGGTCCAGGCGTAACCGCGTAAACAGCGTTAACCAGCACCGCCACAGAATTCTGTCTCCCAGAGACACAGTTCTAGCTAGGTCAACAGCCCAAGACCCAGCCCGACACTCAACTGATCAACATCTTGCGTGGCGCTCCCCACAACCGAAACTGTAAGCAAGCCCTAAGCCCTATAAGCCCTAAAAACAAAAGAGAAAGACATGCCCAGCCTGATGCAAAGGCGTCTGACCGTCGCTATCGGCCAGGTTGGGGCGCGTGTGGCTCGAGCCTCCAAGATTATCTGAAGAGCCGGGCCGAACATTCCACCGCCCTGGCAGGGGAATTCTAAGCTTGGCGTTTGATGTTTTGGTCAGATTGTTGAGCTTCTGCTGTGTAATAAAGATGGTGGCTGGACTCGAGGTCAAGCGCAGCGCACAGCACACAGCACCATTCCACCCACACCACAGCCACACTTGCTCCCCATTCCACCCACACCACAGCCACACTTGCCCCTCAACCCTGCTGCGAAACTTCAGAAGACTTGAGCCTGTGCTCGCCGGCCTTTTTCAGCGCGGCTTCCGTGTCCACTTCGCCGAAGCTCATAGCCAACAGTCTCAGAGGTATGCGTTTCAGGGGTCAGGGTTCAAGGTTTTTTTGAGCTACGCCTCAAACCCTTATATCCCCCCAACGCCTGCGCAAGAGCAGGCACAAACTACAGTCGATTCTTATATCGTCCACACAAGTTGCGTGCTAAATGAACGCAAGAAAGGTGTAGTAGACTGAAGATCACCCAATATTAAAAGAAGTGCACCAGAGAAGATTGGTAATGTTAATACAAGCGTGAAAGCTGTAATCAAGAAAGCCCAAGGAAATAATGGGACAGTCTTTAACGTCAGATAATAAGATCTCAGATTTAGAAGCGCTGTCCAAAGGTTAAGGGATGTAAGACATGAAGATATACCAGAGATGAATAATCCAAATATAAGATTTCCTGTACTTGAAGGTGATCAAGTCATAAAAGAAGCGGATAATGTGGAAGGGTGCCGGAATGTGTAGAGTTCCATCGCGAGCCTCTGCACTTGAAATCCCTCCGAGGAAATTTCCACTTCAGGATTTGAAACTATATTTGTATCAGTTGAACCGATCTTCGAATGATCTGAAAATTGATCAATCTAAAAAACTATGAGACGTCCAAACATTTCCAGAAATGCTTGGCATCCAGCTTTTGAATCTAAATGTAATCATGAGATTTTCAATCATTCCTGAACGACTTCACGGAAAATTGTTCGGTTTCAATTCAATTATGAATACAAACAGTAGAGCACGCCGCTACCCAACCTAAAAGAACCGGTAAACCGGTTGGTTCAGGTAGCTGAAGTGGCATGGGTTTCGGGCCTAAGGGATGCTGCAAGGTTGGCATGGATTCACGGCGACTTTGCAGGAGTAGCGCCATGTGCAAGTGCTCTTCCTTAAACCCCGAACATCCCTAAGCCTTAAACCCTAAACCCCACACAGCGACACGACCCAGGATGAGCACATCGCCCTCCCGGACTGAAAAAAAGCTCAAAAGCGAAAACAGGCGCGCGTGAGGGAGGGGGTCAACCTACACGCAGGCGGGGCCCAGGACACCGATAAAAGGCGCACGTGAGAGGGGTCGGGACTCCTTGGCGGCTCCTCCCCCTCAACCTGAGGGCGGCACCCTGGGAAGCGGAACATCGACCCCGCACAAAATTGAAAGATATTCTTACCGGCCACGTTTTCGCTTAAGCAATGGACAAAGCAGAAGCACAATGAAATTGAAAGAACACGGTCTAAAACACAAAACGCTTCGTTCGAAGTTTTCGCTCACAAGTTTCGTTGAAAACGTTTCGTTCAAAACGTTGATTCTTGGGACCCAAACCCAAACCCTACCCCATACAAATAAACCCCTATTAAACCCCCCGAAAGCCCTGTAACTCTGAAACCCCATGCACCCAAACCCCTACACCCTGAAACGCACATCCCCTAACACCCTAAACCCCTAACCCTAAACCCTCGAACCCTAAACCACAAACCCTAAACCCCAAACCCTAAACCCAAACCCTAAACCCTATACCCCAAACCCGAAACCCCCAAACCCCAACCAGACCCAAGAGGAACGTAAGAATAAACAGGGTGCCCTTTTTGGTTCACAGGGGCTTCTAAGGGAACCTAAACCCCAAAGAAAGGGAACTGCTCTGGGTCCTAAACCCTAAACCCTAAACCCTAAACCCTAAACCCTACACCCTACACCCTAAACCCTAAACCCTAAACCCTAAACCCTAAACCCTAACCCCAAACCCTAAACCGCCAAACCCCAACCAGACCCAAGAGTAACGTAGGAAAGGGTGCCCTTTCTGGTTCACAGGGCTTGTAAGGGAACCTAAACCCTAAAGGGAACTGCTCTGGGTCCTAAACCCTAACCCTAAACCCTAAACCCTAAACCCGAAACCCTAAACCCTAAACCCTAAACCCCTCACTGGCGGCCCAGGCGGCACGCTCCGGCGAGGCGCGTCTTGCGGCCTCGCGATTTTCGCGAATCTCCCGCCTCTGGGCTTTTGAAGTGCTCTTCAGGGGGTTTAGGGTTTGGGGTTTAGGAAGTGCTTTTCAGGGGGTTTAAAGGTTTAGGGCGTTAGGGTTTTAGGTTGCTAGGGTTTTAGGGTTTTAGGATTTTTGTGTTTAGGGTTTCAGGTTAGGGGTTTTGGGGGTTAAGGGGCTTTAAGGGGTTTTAAGAGGCTTTAAGGGGCTTCAGGGGGCCGTTCTGTAAATTTAAGGGGCTTAAAGATTGTAGGGTTTTTTTGGGGGGGGGTTTAAGGGTTTATGGTTCAGGGGTTTAGGATTTGGGGCTTAGCGGTTTATGGTTCAGGGGTTTAGGGCAAGTTTAGGGCTGAGGGGTTACGACTGAGGGGCTCAGGGAAAGATGGGACAATTTAATTCGAGCGGAATGTTCGCAAGTGTATACTATACTCGCAGACAGGGCATGTCATCCAACGGAGCTACATGGCCCTCTTAATATGGCCCCTTACCTTCTTTAAAGGCTTGTCAACTGTGGGCCCGTGGGTTTTGTAGACGTAAAAAAGGGGTATATAGGAGTTTCCCCAGATAAGGGGCCCACTAGAAAGGGACCACGTATCTACTCTCTAAGTTGGGATGTTCCCCTTTGTACTGTCAGTGCTGAGTAGGGATGATCATAGAAGACCTATGATCCCTCTGAAGGACTGTCAGTATTGGGGGGGGACATCCCAAACTCTAAGAATCTCAGGGGGGGATGTAGGGACTTTTGAGACTTTTTAGGGGATTTTAGCAAATGAAACCTTGAAGCCGATAACAACAAGCCCAAGAGCCCGGAAAGTTCTAAACAACCTAGACCCTCAGAAAGATTCTACACCCTAGAAAACCCCGACCCAACCCTCCCAACCCCCCCCCCCCCAAAAAAAAAAAAAAAAAAAAAACACACACACACACATAACAAAAAACGAAGAACCCTAAGAACCCTGAGAACCCTGAGAACCCTAAGAACCCTAAGAACCCTAAGAACCCTAAGAACCCTAAGAACCCTAAGAACCCTAAGAACCCTAAGAACCCTAAGAACCCTAAGCCATTAAGAACACTTAAGGAAGCCCCCTAAACTCCTGCGGACCCTGAGGATCCAAAGCCACAAGACACGAAAGCAAAACATCCTGAGCCGTCGGACCCTGCACCGAAGCCCTAAATCGGGTTTAGGGTTTAGGGTTTAGGGTTGAGGGTTGAGGGGTTTAGGGTTTAGGACTGAGAGGTTCAGGGCTTAGGGTAGCAAAACCTGAGATCTAAACCCTCTCCGAAGGCCCTAAGGCTCAAAAGCCCTCTAAAATACTTATTTAAAGCTGAAACCCAGAACCCCAAAGCCTCCCCTCGCCCAGTATTTTCAGGGGATCCCCCCCCCCCCCCCCCCCCCCCCCCCCCCCCCCCCCCCGGCCGGTGCTGCTCCAATAGCTGCCGATAGTGCCCGTCGTTCGTGGCCGCCTACAACTTAGGAAGTAGGGATGTTGGAGGGGGATTTGGGATCTCGTTTGGCCCCTGTGTGGTGAGGCTTATCTACGGCTTCGGTTTCGAAGTGTAGAAGTAGGTAGGTGTGTGTGTGTCTAAATAAATAAACAAAACATGAATAAATATTAAATATATGTTCATTTACATATTTACATACGTGTTTAAGTGTGTATATACATATGTAAGTATATACAAATATGTGTATTTAAACTCGTACTGACACTTGTCAATCGAGCCCCCCTAAGGGCTCATAGTCTAGAAGCCCGAAACTCGTGAGAACAAAAACTGAAACCCGGAAACCCCGACTCTTCAAGACCTTCAGCCCTGAACCCATCGCACGCTCCTGATAGAGATGCTTCTTGCCCGAAACCAAACCCTAAACCCTTTTTGAAACCCTAAGCCCTAACCCTTCATAAACCCTAAACCCTTTATAGACCTCAACCCTAAACTTTCCAAAGCCCTAAGCGCGGATGACCCGGGCCTTGCTTGCAAGGGCCTGGCGCTCCGCTGGTAGGCTCGCGCCCGAGCGCGTCGTCACGCGGAGCCTGGCGTAGGGAGCCGAGGCTGGGGCTGCAAGCCAGGGTTTAGGGTTTAGGGTTTAGGGTTAGGGTTCAGGGTTCAGGGTTCAGGGTTTACGGTTTAGGGTTCACGGTTTCGGGGCTCCGAGGAGAAGGCCCACTTTTTTTTGTTTTTTTTTTAAGGGGGGGGGGGGGGGGCTTAGGGTGTTGGGGATTTAGGGCTGAGGTTTAGGGTGAAGGGTTGTGGGTTTAGGGGCCCTTACACCCGTCAAGGAAACGTTACGAAATACATCATAAGCAGCGTCCTCTTCAAGGAATGAGCAGCATGCATAGAACTCCGTATGTATGTATGTGCATATATATATACGGACATATCTATATTATATATCTATATATATATATATATTCATATATATAAGAGAACATCATCATCATCATCATCATCATCATCATCATCATCATCATGTTAGAGACACTCTGTATACGGGTGGCAGCCTAAGGGGGTAAATCCCCCAACCCGCAAGCCTGGGCGCTGAACTCCTAAACCCTAAGCCCCAATAAGGGTCCAGGGTGTTAAGGTTCAGGGCTTAGTGCTTAGTGTTGGGGTAACTCCTCAGCCCTCAAGAACCTGAATGAAACTGGCTCTCAGCTGGAGTTCGCCAGACTTGCCTGGTCGGGCTCAGAGAGCGCGGGGCGTCCTGAACAGGCTTTACGGTTCTGGCATCAGCCTGTAAGGAGGACTTCAAGCTTGTAGCTTGTCAGTGGTGGATATCCTGTTCATGTGTTCACTCATTGTAGTAGTATAATCATAAGCTCGTGCATGAATAATAATACTACGAGTGAACTACAGAGTGCACGAATGAGAGGAAAAAAACCCTTCATTTGTTGTTCATGCAGGCTTTTGCACCCTCATTCTCCCATCCTGGCTGCTACCTTCACGACTCAACAGATTAACTTCTGGAGACAGAGGTTATGATGAGCAAAGGGGATACTTGCCAGGGTTTTTTTAGTAGTCCCAAAGGCAGTTACTATTAGACCGTGTTCATCTAAGTCTGTGATCTGTTTCCGAGCAGCATTTCACGCCCCAAAACTTATGTCTGTTTAATGGGCGTGTTAATTATCTACTAAGACTACGTAGTGTTTAGATCCTCTCAGCGTTTAAAATGAGGCCCCGATGGGTTCCCTTACGCTACCGAGCATAGAGTGGGCCTTACTACCTGGGCAAAACATAAGTTTATGGGTTGAGGGTGTAGGGTTTGGGGTTTAGGGCCTTGGGCCAAACCCACACCCTTTGACCCTGTACCGTAGGCTATACCGTACAGGTCCCAGCTAAACCGCCAGTACAGAACTGCAGGAAAGCCCCGACCGAGCCCGGTATGAGGTGCCTACCTGAACCCTAACAGCTCTTTGAACCATCCGAACACTCCGAAGCCTCGGAACCCTTTACATCCTCTCAACCCTCTAATTCCCTCAGCCCTAAACCATAAACCCCCTAAAACTCAATCATTAACCCTACACCCAAAACCCTACACCTTATTCCCAAAGCCCCAAACCCCCATCCCGAAACCCTCTAAACCTCTAAACCCCTAACCCCTAAACCCTAAACCCTGAACCCTAAACCCTAAACCCTAAACCCTAAACCCTAAACCCCAAACCCTAAACCCAAAAAAAAACCAACAGGCCTGTGAAGAGGCGCGGTACCAAGCCGCAGCCGCGGCCGCCGCGGCCGCGGACTCCTGCAAAGCCAGGGAGCTTCCAAAAGAAGGTTTAGGGTTCAGGGTTTGAGGGTTTAGGGTTTGGGGTTTAGGGCTTAGGTTTTAGGGTTTAGGTTTGAGGGTTTAGGGTTTGGGGTTTAGGGCTTAGGGTTTAGCGTTTAGGGTTTGGGGTTCCTTAGGGCTTAGGAACTGAGGGTTTAGGGCCCACAAGGCGCCAGAGGTTCCGGGTACTTCTACCCCAATTATAAGTGTACCCTAATGGGGTGATACTTGTGCTATAAGTACAGTTTTGCTTGCGGGTTTAGAGTTTAGGGTTTAGGGTTTAGGGTTTAGGGTTTAGGGTTTACAAGTTGGGCTTAGGGCTTGCGGCTTGATGTAGGGCTTGGGTGTTTAAGGCCTGTTCTTCTGTTGGTTGCTTCAAGGACACGGACGTCGCGAGGCGACGCAGGATAGGATTTAGGGTTTCAGGTTCGGGGCAGGGAGAAGCCTTAGTCGACGACAATCCTAGGTGCTAAGCCCCATACAATGTGGAGTATGGCCTGTATGCAACACTTGCTGCTTATTTCGCGCCCTCCTTCTGCAAGCTTCCGAAGTGCTGCTTAGACTTAGGATGTCGTCCACCCTGTCCTGGGTTGGGGCGGGCGGCGCCTAAGCCCATCAACCAGCATGGTATTTTGGGATGTTCCCCCTTAGACTAACAGCCCTTAATAGGGATGATCCTAGGGGGGCGGGGGTACGATGATCCCCATTAAGGACTGTTGGGATAAGGGGGAACATCCCAAATGACCCTAAACCCCAAACCCTAAACCCTAAACCCTAAACCCTAAACCCTAAACCCTAAACCCTAAACCCTAAACCCTAAACCCTAAACCCTAAACCCTAAACCCTAAACCCTAAACCCTAAACCCTAAACCCTAAGGTCATTCAGATACATGCACAAACCCCCCAAAAAGAACTCCAAGGAGGCACTCTGGCGGTCCTCCGACTCCCCTGGATGCCTGGCCTCCACAGCGAACTGCGGTTTAGGGTTTAGGGTTTAGGGTTTAGGGTTTAGGGTTTAGGGTTTAGGGTTTAGGGTTTAGGGTTTAGGGTTTAGGGTTTAGGGTTTAGGGTTTAGGGGTCAGGGTTCAGGGTTCAGGGTTTCGGGTTTAGGGTCCTAAGGTCCCAAACTCAAAGCCTTTCAGAGCCCAAGAAGCAACAAACAACAAAGCCGCCACCTGACAAGCCTACTGTAGGGGCATTAATGGGCCTTAACAGTAAGAACAGGGTTTGTGGGGTTATTAGAGCAATAAAGGAACCACAAGGGAATAATATTAGCAATCATTCCGATCAATATTTTCGGGGTAGCCTGTTACCAAGAGAAAGGGGCCGTGCTACTGTAGTTCTAAAAATCCAAGGGTGCCACGAACCGCGGAGTTCTGAAGCCCATACTCGTTGCCTCAGCAATAAAAGAAGTATTTTTTAGGGTCTAGGGTCTAGAGTCTAGGGTTTAGAGTTAATCTAAGCCCCCTGAAAGGGGTGTACGGTGTGGGTCCAGGGCTCATTACTCCTCACATCTTTAGATAAAGGGAAGAATCCCCAGTCCTTGGTTGATGGGAAAGCTTTATTGCCCCACTGTTTTGCAGTTCTGTCTGTTGTTGCAGGGGTTTACAAGGCCCTTCGCCACGCCAGAGGACCGAACTAAACGCCCCGGTTTGCCACACGGCCTGAAACCCCGGAATCCCTAAACCCTAAGTATCCTGAAGCTATTGAGCCCCTTCAGCCCGAAACCCTAATCCCTCAACCCGAACCCAGGGAGAAACCTGCCCTAAAACCCTCAGCCCGAATGCCCTGATCCCCGCCTCAAGCCTAAACCCTATCCCTAAACCCTATAAACCCTAAACCCTAAACCTCAGCCCTCAACCCTAAACCCTAAACTGGCGACAACCCTCAACCTCAGCCCTCAACCCTACAAAGCCCTCAACCCCCCCCAAACCCCCTCAGGGGCGGAATACCCAGCCCCAGAAAGGCTAACCTTTCTATATATAGTAGGATTCTATATAACCAAAAAAGGTTGAAGGGTTTACCCCTTTATACGCAGTAGGATTCTATATATATATATATAACCAAAAAAGGTTCAAGGGTTACCTACCCAGTCCCCAAAAGCCCCCACAGAAAAATGCGACCTCGGGATCCTCCACAGCTTCCACCCGCGACGTGAAAACCTGGACGTTCTCGGGACTCCTGGGCTCTGCGGCTTCGGGAGGGGGGGGTTTCGGGTCTTAGGGTTTAGGGCTTCAGGGTTTCAGGGTTGTAGGGTTTTAGGGATTTAGGGCTTTAGGGTTTAGGGTTTAGGTTTAGGGTTTAGGGATTTAGGGTTTAGGGTTTAGGGTTGGGGGGGGGGGGGGGGGGGGGGGGGCTTTCGTGGTTTTGAGGCTAGGGCTTTGGGGTGTAGGCTTTAGGGTTTGAGGTTTAGGGTTTGAGGTTAAGGGTTTGAGGGTTTAAGGGTTCGAGCGTTTGGGGATTAGCGGGCTGGGGGTTTATGGCTCCGGTGCTTTGAGGGTTGTTTCTGCTTTGCACGCTGCTATCTTTGACTTTTGAGCTATCAGATTGCATCCTCTGTTGACATATCTTTTGCAGTTTCGTTTTCGGCGGCGGGTGCCGGGGCTTTGTTGGGGTTTTGGACAAGTCCAGGGGCATAATGCGGGGGACATGAAACGTACAACTGAGAAGGGAGGCCCCGGGGTGCGTGCGTCCATTGCAATTCTTGACCCTCCAAATCCAAGAAGCCCTAAACACGAACACCCTCAAACCCTACACCCTACACCCTAAACCCTAAAACGGTGAACCCTGAGCCCTGCAAAGCCAGCCCACAACAACCGCCCAACTAGGCAGCCCATGGACCATGTTGCGCTAAGGGCACCGCAGCTTCTGCTGCTTAATAGAAAAACCCCGCCCCTCCCCCCGCAATAGGAAGAAGAAAAAACCGGAATTCAAGTATACCACCCCCCGAAAACAACCTATTTCCCAGAAAGATTTCTGGGCTGAAGAGACATGTCCAAACTGATTGATGCTTCAGAAGAAGAAATTGAAAGAGGCTCGCTCGAGGCGTAGAAGAGGCCCGGAAAAAGCCCAGAAAGAATAAATATAAATTTTGAACTTCTTTGAAATATTCTTGTGTAGCAATTAATCCTTTTGCATATTGAGTTTTTATATGTTTTCTTTAACTCTATCCGTTGAATACTTCCATTTTGATAATTACATAAAAAATATATTTATGAACATGTTAATTCATCGTTTAATGATGAATACTTTGGTGCAACATAATAACTTCCTCCAAATTCAATTTCTGTTTGAACATTTTTGAATTTTGAACCCATAAAGAATGTGAATGGAATATCAAAAATATCGAAAGGAGAAAAATAGAAACCTGGGGCAATTAAAGCTTAACCTTTGGGAATATAAGGGGATGATACTACCCCAAAAAGGTTAAAGGTAACCCTAAACCCTAAACCCTAAACCCTAAACCCTAAACCCTAAACCCTAAACCCTAAACCCTAAACCCTAAACCCTAAACCCTAAACCCTAAACCCTAAACCCTAAACCCTAAACCCTAAACCCTACTCTTCTACTAGGAAAGAGGGCCCAGAGGAGAGGACCAGAGGAGGGCAGCGGAGGGGCCTCCTCGGGCCAGCCCTTTTGCAAACAAGCCATCCCTTGATGTGTTCCCCCGTCTAAGTTAGGGATCAGAGTGCCCCCCCCTATAATAATCCCTATTAAGGGCTTTTAGTATAAGGGGGAACATCCCAAGCCATCCCAAACAGTACTACAGGCCCTTTGACACCAAGGCCTGAACCATGAAGAAAAAAGACACAACTACGCCCTAAACATCCTCAACAGGCCCTTATCCTAAACGTCCTAAACCCGAAACGTCCTAAACCCGAAACCCTGAACCCTGAAGCCTAAACCCTAAGCCCTAAGCCCTGAACCCTAAACCCTAAACCCTACACCCTACACCCTAAACCCTAAACCCTGAACCCTAAACCCTAAACCCTAAACCCTAAACCCTAAACCCTAAACCCGTAAGGGCACTGGTGCCAAGTCACTGGGGTCGGCTCACCGATTGCACAACCACTGCGCCCTTTGGCGATGAAGGCCTCCTGAGGATGAGGGTTTAGGGTTTAGGGTTTAGGGTTTAGGGTTTAGGGTTTAGGGTTTAGGGTTTAGGGTTTAGGGTTTAGGGTTTAGGGTTTCGGGTTTAGGGTTTCGGGTTTCGGGTTTCGGGTTTCGGGTTTCGGGTCTAAAGATGAGGGTATTTCGGCTCCACCTTAAAGGCCTAGCTAAGGTAAACAAGGGACTCCTCAACCCAAACCTCGGCTTGAGGTGTTTTAGGGTTTGGGTAGCAATCTCATATCGTCACCTCAAAACCCTTGTATCTTTACGCTGAAGGGTCCTAAATGATGTCGTTCCCGTATATTCCCTATATCTAAATTGACAGTGACAAATACCACCAACAATTCCGGCCACCGCCTCCACAAGCCCTCACTAGTGCTCAATGTCGAGCATGAGTTGGTGCATTTTTAGGACATGTGGGTTAAGGGTTTGGATGAAGCAAGTTCCTCATTTCCGCCGTGCCGTGGGATGTAGTTCGAAGCGTTCGCAAGCAGGTACTGATTATGATCTTGCCAAATTTGGAATGCTGGACAACTCATTAACCTTCCCCAGTTCTGCTAATGAAGGTCAGGATAAGAGCCTCTGTGTCCACTCTCACCTCTAATGGCCCTGTAACGCCATCTTAGGGTAGTTCCATGGTCCCGTTCTATGGGCCCGTAAATGGGAACCCCTGATATACCCCCTTACATACCCAGTAAGACCGAAGTCCCCATACTTCGTAGCCTTTTCAAGAGGGTTAGGCCATACAAGGGGATAATGAAGCCTAAACCCTAAATCGAAACCCTAAACCCTTAGACGCAACCGAAAGAAGCCTGAATGGTATGAGACCTAAGCGCTCCCAACGACCCCTCAAGCCCGCCCCCAAAGCAACGAAGCCCAAAAAGCATGGCCCCACCGGTAACCACAAAACCCCCTTCACACCAAAGAGCCCCGAAGCCGGAAACCGAAGCCCTAAAGACCAGTTTAGGGTTTAGGGTTTCGGGTTTAGGGTTTCGGGTTTAGGGTTTAGGGTTTCGGGTTTAGGGTTTAGGGTTTAGGGCCGCTAATAAGGACCCCTAAACCCTGGACCCCCCCCCCTCCCCCCGGAAACCCTGAAACCCGTGCTTGCCGGCGGGGGTCGGCAAAGTGGGCGCATCCTCCAGGATGGGTATGTGGGCATTTGGCTTATCCGAAAAGCTACTTTCAGGGTTTAGGGTTTAGGGTTTAGGGTTTAGGGTGTAGGGTGTAGGGTGTAGGGTGTAGGGTGTAGGGTGTTAGCCTTTAAATTTTATCGTTCAGGGTTCGGGTTTCGGGGTTTAGGTTTTAGAAGTTTCGGGCGTTCTTTTTAGGGGACTCAGAGCTCCCAAAGCCTGTTTCTCAGGGCTTGGGGCTTATTTTAGGTGGAGGAATTCAGGGCTTCTCCTCAAGAGCCCTCAAAACCCCGACTTTTCAGGGTTTAGGGTTTAGGGTTTGGGGTTTGGGGTTTGGGGTTTGGGGTTTGGGGTTTGGGGTTTGGGGTTTAGGGTTTGGGGTTTAGGGTTTAGGGTTTGGGGTCTTCGGGGTTTCTGCTCAGTCGGGCAGCTTGTGGCTTCTCAACCGTGCTTCGAAGCCCCCAAGGACAAGCTGAACCCCGAAACGGTATAGATTGCAGGATGGCCCTTAGAAGCCCTTTAGGGTTTAGGGTTTAGGGTTTAGGGTTTAGGGTTTAGGGTTTAGGGTTTAGGGTTTAGGGTTTAGGGTTTAGGGTTTAGGGTTTAGGGTTTGGGGTTTGGGGTTTGGGGTTTGGGGTTTGGGTTTAGGGGTCCTGAATCTGATCCTCTCGCACCCACATTGGGGGAACATACAGAATGTCCCCAGGGCCTACCTAGTAGCTGGGGGGGGGGGGGGCTTTTTGTTGGGTGCTGTGTCTGGGGGGCTCTCCCTTATAGACTATGGGTCGCCCATCAATCCACCCACCCATGCTCTACTGCCCCGTTACCTCAACCCGGCCTAAACCCCCCAGAGTTGGGATGTTCCCGATTCTCGTACCCCCCTGTGATAATCCCAATTAAGGACTGCTAGTATAGGGGGGAATCCCGGGCGGGAACAACAACGGACACACAAAAGCGCCTTGGGCCCACAGCGTACCTTTCTGAAACTCGAACCCCTAGAGCGTCCGAAGCCAAACCTAAACCCTAAACCCTAAACCCTAAACCCTAAACCCTAAACCCTAAACCCTAAACCCTAAACCCTAAACCCTACACCTTCGATTCGGTGGGTGCCTGGAGCGGCTTCACCACGAAAGCATTGAGCTCCTGGTTGAGGAAGGGCCCAACCGCCACGCCATTCTTCTCCTGAGCTGGGGTCTAGGGTTCCAGGCCCTCAATTAAGGGTTTAGGGTTGAGGGTTTAGGGAAACTCTTGTATACACATTGTATAATAGTAATTGCGGAAAATACTAAGGCTAAGGGCCCACGGCTCCAACCTTACATGGGTCTGAGTTCGAGGGTCCCGGATTTTCGGGTTTTGGGATACGTAGGCTAATAAGCATGCTAGCTCTAGCCAGAACCTTTGTTGCGGCACTTAACCCTACCTATATCTACCTCAGGGCTGGTTGTTCAGGGATTCAGGGGAGCAGGGTATTGGCGCTCGGGCCGGCTTACGGGCCGAGACGGAGACGCGCGAGAATCCCATCTGGGTTGGGCACCGCTCTTTCCCCCCCCCCCCCCTCATATTTTAGCAGCACAGTATGTGCCCACCAGGTTGCAAGTAGGCTCTGTGCCAAGGGGCCATTGTGTTCATCATACTTTGGTTGAGGATCCTTTTAGGTTAAGGCTTCTCCCCCCCGAATCAGGGCACCTAGACCCCAATCCCCTCGTCTCGGAAGCCGGTGTAGGGCCTGTTTCTTCGGGCTTATTCTTACCCGAAACCCTAAACCCTAAACCCTAAACCCTAGAACCCTAACCCTAATCCCTAAGGTTCAGGTTTACCACGGAAGACCTACGCCGAACCTGACGCTGCTTCCCCGAGCATCGGCCCAGATCCGGAGTTTGCTGGTGAGGAACCACGCCCACCTTCGTTCAGCTGACGTTCGCACTTGTAGGGCTGAGGGGGCCGGCGGCTGATCGGCCTTGAGGTTAGTGGGGGTTTAGGGTTGAGGGGTTTATGGGTTTAGGGTTTTAGGATTGAGGGTTTCGGGGTTTAGGGTTTAGGGTTTAGGGGTTTAGGGGTTTATGGGTTTAGGGTCAGGGGGTGAGGGTCAGGGGGTGAGGGTGTTTATAGCAAGGGGTCTGGGTTTGGACAGGAAAAGGTGGGTCCTAGGCATTTGGGGCCCTTATTTGTGGAGAGCCAACCAAGCCCTTCTGGGATGTTCCCTCAACCCTAAACCCTAAACCCTAAACCCTAAACCCCTAAACCCTAAACCCTAAACTTGCCGGATCTCGGGCAATCTCTCCTCCAAAGGCCCCAAGTCCCAACTGTACCCGGGGGGGGGGGGGGGTGCAGGTGGATCTTACCCATGGGCTCTTCTGGTACCTTATTCCCAAAGTCCTAAGCCCTAAACCCTAAACCCTAAACCCTCTGGTACCTTATTCCCAAAGTCCTAAGCTTTAAGCCCTAAACCCTGATCCCCTGCATGGCTGCCCTCTGAGTCTACCGCATAACTCGGAGCTCGTGCATCCGACACCGCAGGCGGATAGCCTCAATGCTCCGTGGTTCATAGTATCCCACGCGAGCTTTTGGGGTTTGCGGCTTCGGGTTTGGGGTTTGGGCTTGTCTAGGGTTAGCCTGAATCAGCCAGCTTGGGCCCAAGATATTCCCTTCCTCGGCCCCTATGACTCACAGAGTCCCTACAAACGAACCCCCGAAAAAAAAGGGGGAGGCCGATCCCGGGGAGGCTGGGTATTTTTGGGGTATAGGGTTTAGGGTTTAGGGTTTAGGGTTTAGGGTTTATAGGGATTGAGAAATGGATGTGGGTATTTCTCCAACATATCAAGGGACCAATACAGGAATGATCTTTATAGGGGACCTTAGGGCTTCTTTGTTGGTTGTTTAGGGTCTTTAGGGACTATATAGGTGGTATAGGAGTTATATAGGGAAATTTAGATTAAGGGCCCCTTCTAGGGGTCCCTCCTTATGCCCCTTACAACTAGGGGTACCCCTTTCAATCCCACATAGGCTAGAATCCCTTTCAAGGGACCCCCCAAAAAGGGTACCCCTATTCTCGGAAGCCCCCAATGTGAGAAAGGCTGGCACCTCCTCGCGCTTTGGGGGTTTACAAGGTTTCGGGTTTGGGGCTTCTCTTTGGGTTCAGGCCTTAGGAGGCTGGTGGTTCTGTCTTAGGGATCGATGCTTCTTAGGGTTCAGGGCTTAGGGTTTAGGGTGTAGAGTTGCTAAGGTTTCGGGTTTAGGGTTTAAAGGGCAAGCCCTGGGGGACCCGGAGCCGACGTCGCACACTTTCTCTTTTGCTAAGCGATGCACTTCGCACGGCTCTTTGCGGAGCCATCCATTTCCTCTAAGCCCTTTAAACTTCCCCGAGATTTTAAAGCAAACCAACGGGGTTTAGGTTTAGGGTTTAGGGTTTACGGTTTAGGGTTTAGGGTACCCCCACGTCCTACATAAGCCCCAAGCATTAAGGGCGCAGGGGTTGCGGCTTAGGGTTCAGGGTTGAGTCCTAAGGCTCGAAACCTCTAGAAACCCAACCCCCGCCCCTATCCGGGGGATGTCAGGGAACTGGTAGGGTTTAGGGTTGAGGGTTGAGGGTTTAGGGTTTCGGGTTTAGGGCTTAGGGTTTAGGGTTTAGGGTTTAGGGTTTAGGGTTTAGGGTTTAGGGTTTAGGGTTTCGGGCTTAGGGCTTCGGGCTTCGGGCTTAGGGCTTCGGGCTTCGGTTCAGGGCCTCGGGCTTGGTGTGATTAAGGGTCCTTACATTCTGGGGGCTGAGGGCTGAGGCCCTTGGGATGGGCTGGGCTAGGAATACCTAACATGTGGGTCATTCTTTCCACAAAACCCTAAACCCTAAACCCTAAACCCTAAACCCTGGACCCTGGACCCTAAACCCTATTTTCGAAAACCTCCCCCCCGGCATCCTCACCGCACTGACCTCACCACAAGGGCTGCCGCGCTGGCGCCTGCCAGTCTCTGGAAGAGGTCTAGGACTCTTGGTGGGGTAAAGGGGCGAAGCGGTTTGGGTTTCGGGTTTAGGGTTGTTCAAACCGTAGACTGCTCATGACCCTGGATCCCCATTTTGGCGGGGGGAGTTCCGATCCTGCATGCAACACCCCTAAAAATTAAACTCCTTAAGCTACAAAGCTTAAACTCCTTAAGCCCCAATTCTCTGGGCCCCGAAGCCTCGACTCCTTAAACCCCAAACCCTAAACTCCTTAAGTCCTGAACCCCAAACTCCCTAAACGCCCTTAAACCCTAAACCCTAAACCCTAAACCCCAAACCGCTTTACGTCCTAAACTGACAGGGCGCCGAGCACTGCACCGCCCACCAGGGCGGCGCGCACGGCGGCGTAGTGCTCCCCCAGGATCTCCGGGCCTCTTTTGGGGAGGGTGGGGGGGGGTGGGGGTTCCCTTATTTGGGGGGGGGGGGGGGGGGGGTTTAGGGTCTAGTGCTTCTGGGGTTGTAAATACTAAACCCTAACCCTAATATGGGGTTGCTTCGGGAGCTTAGGGGCTCAGAGGTTCCCCTGATGTCTTTAGGGGGGGGGTAGTAGAAGGCCCGCGTTCGGGTTTAGGGGCCTCGGGGGGTAGCTTCATGTTAGCTCGACTTACTGGCAGAAGTCCGGTTAGTTTGTCAGTTTGTTAGGAGCAGAGAGCGTTAGCAACTGGACCGCTGGAAATTCAAGGTCCTGCAGATCTGGCGCAGGTTTGGGGTCACGGCGCAGAGAAGTCGCTTAGGCTTTAGGGTTTAGGTTGGGATGCTCCCCCCTTGTGCTAACAGTCCTTAATTGGGAAGATAGTACCCCTATGGTAATCCCGACTAAGGACCGCTAGTATAAGGGGGAACATCCCAAGGTTTCGGGTTTGCTCTAACAAGCCAACGCAGCGAGTCAGTGCCTGGAAACTGGCGTCGGTCGGGCTTGACCTTCTCCAGGAGCGGGTCCCAGCTCCTTCTCAGGGGTTTCGGGGTTAGGGGTTTAGGGTTTGGGGTTTAGGGCTTAGGGCTTAGGGCTTAGGGCTTAGGGTTTCGGGTTTAGGGCTTGTTGTTGGTGTTGAGGATACGCTCGAGTTGTCTAAGCTGGCTCTTCGCGATTTGGGCAACCCGACAACCACTTTTGCAGGCTTGAGGCCTCAACCCTAAACCCGTTGATTCCAGGTTTAGGGTTTGCTGAAGGCTTCAAACCGCAACCCTAAACCTAAACCTAAACCCTAAACCCTAAACCCTAAACCCTAAACCCTAAACCCTAAACCCTAAACCCTAAACTTTCCCTAAACCCTAAACCCAGGCAGAAAGCCCCACTTCCAACCAAAAAACCGAAGACCTGAGGACCTGAGGTTGAGTTCTAGCATGAAACCCGAAGCAGACCCACTTGCGCATCTTTCTTTAGGGGCAAGAAAGGTTGCAGTAGCCCTTGAGGAAATTTTAGATGTTTGTTTTTAGAATTTAGGCCAAAAGAACGGAATGCTAAACCCTCAACTTCGAAACCACAACCTCAAACCTCAATCCTATGCATCCTCAACCCGACAACCCGACAACCCGACAACCCGACAACCCGACAACCCGACAACCCGACAACCCGACAACCCGACAACCCCAAACCCCAAACCCCAAACCCCAAACCCTAAACCCTAAACCCTAAACCCCAAACCCTAAACCCTATATAAACCCTAACCCTAAACCCTAAATCCTTTAACCCTAAACCCTAAACCCTAAACCCTACACACCCCAAACCAGTCCTGTCACCAGGCCCGGGCTGCGTCATCGCAACAAGGGTGGCGCGTGCTGCGTTCGGGTACGCCAGGCAGCGGACGCACAGATCCTGGGATCTAGCTCTGTAAGGGTTTAGGGTTTAGGGGTTTAGGGGTTTAGGGGCTTAGGGGCTTAGGGGTTTAGGGGTTTAGGGGTTTAGGGGTTTAGGGGTTTAGGGGTTTAGGGGTTTAGGGGTTTAGGGGTTTAGGCGGTTTAGGGTTTAAGGGTTTACAGGGTTTGTATAGAGCAGGATAGCGGAGTAAGGGTCCTTCGGGGTAGCAGAGGATCTCACGGCCCAAGACCCCTTCAACCCTTCAAGCTTCACGGCTGCCGAAGCCCACCCCCCTCAGCGCCAAACCCAGAGCCCTAAACCCTAAACCCTAAACCCTAAACCCTGAACCCTGAACCCTAAACCCTAAACCCTAGACCCTAAACCCCAAACCCTACAGCCCAAATCCCAGCGAGCCCTGACAGGCCTTTGGTTTCCGGGGGGGAGGGGGGGGGTTAGGGCTCAGGGTTTGCAACAGGGTTTAGGGTTTAGGGTTTAGGGCTTAGGCCTTAGGGCTTAGGGTGGGGGATTTGTGAAGGTGTGACGGATGTTGTGTTGGGTTGCCTGCGCCCCAAAGCCCTAAAAGCGTTTTCAGGGGAGCATCCTAAACCCCGACAACCCCCGAACTGCATACTCCCTAAACCCTGAACCCTAAACCCTAAACCCTACATCCTAATCCCTACACCCTAACCCCTACATCCCTAACCCTAAGCCCTGCATCCTGCACCCTAAACCCTAAGACTCTGCTGCTTGCCGCCGTGGTGGCCGCCACGCAGCGGTGGGGAATCGCGGCGACTTTAAGATCCCCGCCGTTGTCCGCCAGCGCCAGAGACACCCTTTGTTGAGGGCTTCGGGGTTTAGGGTTTAGGGTTTGGGGCTTAGGGTTGGGGTTTGGGGTTTAGGGTTTAGGGTGTGGGGCTTAGGGTTGAGGTTTGGGGCTTAGGGTTTGGAGTTTGGGTTTCTGGCGTAGGCTGTGCTTGATAAAGTCTACAAGGTTTGGAGCATCGCTTATGGTAGGGGTTGTGCTTTAGAGAGCCTACAAGGCTTGACGGTTACTACAAGGTTGTGACTTTAGGGCTTAGAGGATTTACGGTACTGGAGTTGAAGGGGCACAGCCTTCGTGCAAAGGCCTGGACACCCCCTTGGCCGCAACGCAGAAATCACAGAACCCGAAGGCCTCAACCCTAAACCCCGAAGACTCCCTGGTGGACTTCCGGTAGGCCTTCAGGTTTATATAATAGGTTTAGACCCAATGGGTTTGGAAGCTCTGAACCTTGAAAAAGCCTGTAAACCCTAAATCCGCAACCTCCAAAGGCACGCAGCACCGCAGAACCTCATCTGCAAGTTCAGAGCTGTTCAGAACAATCCTCTGCATGTCAGCTCTCCACCAGGACCCATTGGACTCATTGGACCCCTAAACCCTCAACCCTCAACCCTCAACCCAAGCTGACAAGCTTCTCCTCACCTAGGGTGGCATCCACGTTCCCCATGTAGCCAGGCCGGACAATGGTGTAGTCCTCGGCTAAGCGCCGCAAATTTGACCTTTTTTTTGGGGGGGGACGGGGGGGGGGGGGCCTGAACACCCCAAACACCCTACACCCTAAACCCTCCACCCCAAACCCCAAACCCCAAACCGTAAACCCTAAACCACAAAAAAACCCTAAACCCTAAACCCTAAACCCTAAACCCTAAACCCTAATTACACCCTACACCCTAAACCCTAAACCTAAACCCTAA